CTGGTGTCTTCATGTTGTCCCACCTGGTGTCCTCCTGGTGTCCTGTTGTCCTCCTGGTGTCCTCATGTTGTCCCACCTGGTGTCCTCATGTTGTCCCACCTGGTGTCCTCCTGGTGTCCTGTTGTCCTCCTGGTGTCCTCATGTTGTCCCACCTGGTGTCTTCATGTTGTCCCACCTGGTGTCCTCCTGGTGTCCTGTTGTCCTCCTGGTGTCCTCATGTTGTCCCACCTGGTGTCCTCATGTTGTCCCACCTGGTGTCCTCCTGGTGTCCTGTTGTCCTCCTGGTGTCCTCATGTTGTCCCACCTGGTGTCTTCATGTTGTCCCACCTGGTGTCCTCCTGGTGTCCTGTTGTCCTCCTGGTGTCCTCATGTTGTCCCACCTGGTGTCCTCATGTTGTCCCACCTGGTGTCCTCCTGGTGTCCTGTTGTCCTCCTGGTGTCCTCATGTTGTCCCACCTGGTGTCTTCATGTTGTCCCACCTGGTGTCCTCCTGGTGTCCTGTTGTCCTCCTGGTGTCCTCATGTTGTCCCACCTGGTGTCCTCATGTTGTCCCACCTGGTGTCCTCCTGGTGTCCTGTTGTCCTCCTGGTGTCCTCATGTTGTCCCACCTGGTGTCTTCATGTTGTCCCACCTGGTGTCCTCCTGGTGTCCTGTTGTCCTCCTGGTGTCCTCATGTTGTCCCACCTGGTGTCCTCATGTTGTCCCACCTGGTGTCCTCCTGGTGTCCTGTTGTCCTCCTGGTGTCCTCATGTTGTCCCACCTGGTGTCTTCATGTTGTCCCACCTGGTGTCTTCATGTTGTCCCACCTGGTGTCCTCATGGTGTCCTCCTGGTGTCCCACCTGGTGTCCTCATGTTGTCCTCCTGGTGTCCTCCTGGTGTCCCACTTGGTGTCCTCCTGGTGTCCTCCTGGTGTCCTGTTGTCCTCCTGGTGTCCTACCTGGTGTCCTCCTGGTGTCCTACCTGTTGTCCTCCTGGTGTCCTCCTGGTGTCCTCATGTTGTCCCACCTGGTGTCCTCATGTTGTCCCACCTGGTGTCCTCATGTTGTCCCACCTGGTGTCCTCCTGGTGTCCTGTTGTCCTCCTGGTGTCCTCCTGGTGTCCCACTTGGTGTCCTCATGTTGTCCCACCTGGTGTCCTCATGTGTCCTCCTGGTGTCCTACCTGGTGTCCTCCTGGTGTCCTCATGGGTCCTCATGTGTCCTCCTGGTGTCCCACCTGGTGTCCCACCTGGTGTCCTCATGTTGTCCTGTGTCCTCATGGTGTCCTGGTGTCCTGGTGTCCTGTGTCCTCATGGTGTCCTCCTGCAGT